TCTCGATCGACTCCTGACAACTCTACTGACTTGATCAGTCACTTTGAGGCTTTAAAGCCGAGTTCTGATGGGGTGTATGAAGCTCGTGGGGTAAACGTCCACCACCCACTTGATGTGGGGTGTGGAAGCAGCAGTGGTAGCAGCACAAGTAGCGGACATCGGTCGTTTCGACGTGTGAAAGACAAATGGACAGCATCAGTAGCACCATCGCTAGCAAACAGCGTCTTCGATACGAAAGGTCATTTGAGGGTCCTCACTGAACAGAATCGACTGGAGTGTATTGATGCCGTGCAAGATCAGCAGACTTCCAGTGGTAGTGGTGGCCGACGAGATCACGCATTCCGTGTCAGACCCTCTCAGACTACGTCTTTTGCCGAAGTTGGCGGTTTCTCAGTTGGCAGTAATTTTGAGAATGAAGAAGAGTTCGAGGAGGCGGAAGAAGAGGATGAAGACGAGGATATTTCATTGGAGAGCATACCCATTCAGTCGGAAGCCAGACCAGAGGACGTGGAGGCGATAGAGTTGGATGCCGCTGATTCAACTACAGTGAATGACTTATCAGCCATACAGCTAATGCTTGTTTCCTCCTCAGCTTCAAGGCATACCTCTATTTCGTCTCCAATGGCCAATATTCTTTGTTCAGAGCCTTGCTCGTCAAAGCCTTTGTCACAGCCTCTATCTTGCCTATGTTCTGGAGTTGGTAATGCTGCAGTAGCATCGAACCAAGGACGGAAGTCAATAATTGGTTCAGTCAAGCGTCCAATCCTAACCATAGAACAAGTGTCATGGCCTCACAAGAATGCTACTTCCTCTTTAAGTCTATCTTCTAGCCTCTCTTCTCTCCATGGTCTTCCCTCAGCACCGGACCTCTCACTCCACGGCCTCGAAACACTGGATAAAACTCATACCAGTGTTGGCTTAGACTTGCGATCAGATATACCCTTGGTTCGTCCTTCATCTGCAGCATACTTCATGACCTCAGCAAGATCTCAAAGACTTCGCGGCCCAGCCCCACCTCCATCTGTTGCTCTCTCTGTCAGCCTTACCTCACTCGCCTCGTTCTCCGAAGCTAAACGAGCCTCAGCTTATCCAGCACTCGTCGGCGCGGATGAATTCATGGACCGGCCAACAGTGCCTTTTGGGAAATCACCCATTGGGACAAAATTAACTTCTGAAAGGATTTTGGGCCGAGATCCACCTTCGATACTGCCTGGCTCATTTACAAAGACAGATGACATCGAGGCTACTGGCCACCGGCGCTTTATCTCTCCTATCAGATTATCTGGCATTTGTGGTGATAGTGGCTCATTTAATAGGACTGACAGTGATCAGGCCAGCTTTGCAAACGGTGATAAAGTTTCTTGTGGGCCTAACAACCGGTGTCTTTCTCTTACAGGATCAACCCAAGACAGATTTCGCTCAGTAAATCAGTTAAATACTGAGCGTCCTCAGGCCAGCTCGAGCATTGACGAAGACGACACTGATTTCGCTTCAGCTCGAATCCGACCGCATTTTTATCATCATCAGCTCTGAACATTTACTTTCGTCTCGATTTCTCTTGGCTACCATTATCGTGTTAGCACTGCAGCTACAAGTGAATTAGCGAAGCAATGTGATCGGACTAAAATTTATCATTATTTCCCTCATTTTTTCTTTCCATTCTATGTGATCCTCGAGTGCTTATTTAATTTCGCTTCACTATCCGAGTAATCGCTATGGAAATTCGTACTTTTTCCCCGTACTTATGCATGCATATATATATATATATATATTCTCTTTCGTCTATTTTTATATAGTTATAAAGCTGAATAAAACGTATTCTCCTTTTAATTTAGCCCTCACAAAGTCTAAGCATTGTGCCCGATGATAATAAATCTTATAATAACTTAATCCTTGCTTTACAATCAATTTGGCTAGACTTTAGATTGCGAAGTAAGAGTTAGTTGAAGAGATTCGTGAATTGGCCTCACCGGTAGCCAAGGCAGTAGAGAAACGTGAAATGATGAACCTTGGATTGTGTGAATAAGTCCTTAGTTCACTGTCCTGCTGCCCCAGTGAAGCCTTTCTGAGCTTTTGTCTGTCATCTGAAAGATGTCAGAGTGAGAAATCATAATTTACGGAAAAGCGCATTAATAAACGAAACCAGGATATTGTTGCCGGTTGGGATCATACTGAATTTTTAAATACGCTATCTTAATGAAGTATCCTATGATTTGATTGGCTTATTCATGCTTAATCCATGTGGTTGCAGATTATTAAAGATTCATATTGCAGATTCATAGCAAGGTCAATTTCGTCAAGGCTATTTCCTTTAATTAATAAACTAACAAAATTGAGACACGTTCAAGTGTG